ATTGGAGGGCCAGTAGTGGAAATGTTTGAAACAGGTCAAGGTCTATCACCACAGTCACTAAAGCCCTGCAGGTGCTTCCTGCCCTTGCGTGCTCCAAAGCTGTCACCACAAGCATTGTCTCATTCAAAAGCAAACTGCAGCATGATTGTCCCTCAAGCCACAGCTGCATCCCCACGTTGATCTTTCCTCTCTGCCATTCCCTAGAGCCAAGGTCCATTCAGGGCACCCTTCCTTGCTGAAACTCCAGGGTTCAAGCCCATTTTCATTAAGTGCTTGTAACCAAGAGGTACTTCAAGCCCAGCTGGGAAGGAGTCAGGTTTCTATTGTTAAATTACCACCAAGAAAAGGACTGAGCATGAGATTTAGAGCCATCCAATTCCCTCTGCATGAATTCCAACTTGCAGTTGAACCCTGAGCTTAAATCTAGTCTGAATTCAAGCAATGTCTCCTCAACCCATGGCTGGCCAGGAGATGAAAGGACAGGACTGAGAGACAGGAGGAGAATTTGCCCCTAGAATGGGTCACCTGAGAGCCCATTAGCCAGGGAAACTGGGCAGACATCCATCCGTCCATCCATCCATCTGTTCATCCATTTGTCCGTCCACCCATCCCTACCTTCTCCTCACTCCAGCATGGACTGGGCTGTGGTCTGGGGCATCACCTGCTCCACCCATGAGCAGAGCATGTCTGGGCAGTTTGGTGCCATTCACTCAGGCCCAGAGGCCCCAGGGGCAGGTTCTGGCTCTCCACCCTTAACCTCTTCCTAGACCCCAGAAACGAGAGAGAGGAGAGATCTTTCCACAGAGCAGCACATGGGATCTGCTCAACCTTTTCCAGCTGACACACCTACTGAAGAGCACCAGGGACAGAGCACAGACAGCCCAAGCTCTTGGCATCACTGACACCAACCAAGACTTGGCTGGAACCTGCTCTGCCTCATGGAAAGAGAGAACTGAAAGCAGAGATGCAAGGGAGTCATTTCTCCTGGTTGTTTTCCTATGAGTGGAGCCTCACTGCAGCTGCCAGTGCTCGACACACACCTGATCACGCTCCCTTCTAACTGCACAAATCCCCACTAACCTCTTTCAGCCTCAAGGGAGGTTTGAAGAGCAGCTGCCAGAGACCACTTCAATGCATCCATGTGAGCCAGGCTTTGAGGGCACACTGGAGAGCCCTTCATCTTCCTCATTTGCAGTTAGGACAGCAACACCTCACAGGCTCATGCCTACACAACTCAGCCCTGTCTGAGTGGGGACAAGCTGCACCATTGCAGCTACAACTGGCAATAGATGGCCAAAAGCCTTAGGTGCAGAAGAGAAAGATTTGGGAAATACGCTGCGCTTGACTAAGGAAGGGCTGCATCCTTCCCCTGTACTCTTCTGCTTCCTGCCCCAGGGGAGCAAAAGCTATGTGCTTCTGTTCTAGAAGTACTGGGACCCACTGCAAGCACAGCCACCATCTGAGCAGATGTATTTGCCAACCTGTCCTCCTCCCTCACTGAGCACTCCTTCTGGTTTCTAAGACTGAAGCAACCAGAAGCAGGAAGCTGTATCACTCAGTAAAGGTCACATTCCTTCCCCTTTTAGTCCAGATTTAGCACCAGTTTGAAGCCACAAGACTCAAATGAATGCTAAGCAAGACAACCACCGTTTCTGGAATGATACAGGTTACAACAGAAGTGGATTTTTGGCTAATAACCCAATCTATTGCATGCCTGTCCTCTTCTGTCTGAAGTCTTATAGCTCTTCCTGCAAAAGGCAAGGAATTCTGTCAGTGGCACCTCCAAAATTAGGGGTCCCTAAATTAAGACTTGTTAACTACTGACCACAGAATGACAGAGTGGTTTGGGCTGGAAGGGACCTTAAAGCTCATCCAGTTCCAACCCCCTGCCACAAGCAGGGACACCTTCCACTAAAGCAGGTTGCTTCATGCCCCGTCCAACCTGATCAACACCACAAGTAGCTTCAAGGAGGTCTGGGGGACTCACTTGCATTTTTGCGATGTTCCTTACAAGCTGCTTCACATGGGAACCTGTTGGTCCATGGGAAGACTGGAGGAGTGACAAGGCTAAAAGCAAAATCTAAGCCTGTCTCATCTTTGGCAATTCACCTTAGGACTAACTACCCACTTCCTCAGCAGCCCTAATTTTCCAAACCAGTAAACAGAAGTGGTCGTGGGATGTCCAACTTCAGGCATCCAAGATGGAAGAGGTGAGTATTGAATTGCGAGATTCCCCAATTCCGCCATGGAAAGCAAGATGGAGGCAGAGAGGAGAGGACTCATTCATGAGTTATGAGGAGGGAAGGAGGAGAAAGATGAGAGGGAGGTGGGACAGGCAGTCAGCTGCAGCTCATGAGCAAACCCTCCC